AAGGAATTGTTCCCTGGGAGGGTGGGCAGGCCCTGGCACAGGGTGCCCAGAGAAGCTGTGGCTGCCCCTGGATCCCTGGCAGTGCCCAAGGCCAGTGGAAGGTGTCCCTGCWGCAGATGCAGGTGCCGATGCTCACCAAGGCACCCCAGTGCTCCAGTGCCTGGCTCTGCACCACAAAAATCCCTCTCAGTGAGACAGGGACCTAAAACAGGCAGAATGTGGGGGGATTGACATTTTCACCCCCTTGCAGTCCTTGGTGCCTGGCTGAGCTGGACACCGGGGCCACTTGCCACCCAGTCCTGGGGAATAAACGCTCCAACAATTTGTACCCTGGCAAAGGAAAGCCCTTTTCCCTCCACATTTCCCAAGCTGGCAGGAGTTTTGCTCCTTGATTTTTTTTTTCCTTGAGCAGACAGTTCCCAGCCATGATAATTACATGAATCTCTCCCAAGCAGTCATTAAATCAGCACCTTCTCCTTTATAATATATACATTTATAATATATATATAATTTATAGAGAAATGACTTCTGTAAACAATATTCCTCTACTCCAGGAGGAAGTGGAGTCCAGGGCATAATGGAGCTTCAAACACGGATCTCGGAGAGAACTGGCAGCCACCCTCARCCTCCACTTGTCCCCACGGGGATGGCTCTGGGGTGGGGACAGAACCGGCTGGCTCAGTTTGGGTGGCACCGGTTTCAGCTGAAGCAAACTGGTCCGACTGTGAAACCGAACTGGTGYGAGGCGTCGCCGTTGTGGAACACAGCCAGGTCCCGCAGGGGCAGCAGCCACAGCTCCTCTGTGCTGAACTGGAAGATGGTGTCCGTGATGGAGGACTCGTTGTCCAGCTGAAATGACCACCAGGGACAGCGGAGTGACACCAAAACCCCTCAGCTGAGGGGCTGGAGCCCCTCTCAGAGCACCCTTGGCTGCTCCTGGATGCACCCAGTCTCCATCCCCAGCCTTTCCTGGCTTCTCCAGGGTGGTGTCCCCCAGAGCCCACCCCATCCCCTGCTACATCCCAGCCTCTCCCAAGGACCAGGACAGGTCCCAAAGCCTGGAAAATCGATGGTCCCATCCCCTGCTGTGTCCCAAGACTAGGACAGGTCCCAAAATCCAAGGAAGGGATGCTCTCCATCTCCATTCCACGACTGGGACAGGTCCTTGAGCCCAGGGAATGGACTGTCCCAATCCCATCCCACGGATCCCATCCCATCCCATGGATCCCATCCCATCCCCATCCCACCCCATCCCAGGACAGTTCCCAGAGCCCAGGGAAGGGATGCTCTCCATCCCACTCCCTCTGAGTGCAGCCCCATCCACCAGCTCCACCCCAAACCCCCCATCCCACCCCATCCCAGGACAGTTCCCAGAGCCCAGGGAAGGGATGCTCTCCATCCCACTCCCTCTGAGTGCAGCCCCATCCACCAGCTCCACCCCAAACCCACGCCGAGGGGCTGTCTGAGAGCTGGGAGGCTTTTCCAGGCACACAGCCCGCGCAGGGCCAGGCTTACCGGGCAGCCCTGCAGGCTGGCTGCGTAGCTGTGATCCCGGGAGTCGGTCAGGAAGCGGATTTCCTTGCGGGGCTGGGGCYGGCCCCGCTGCGGGGCCGCTCGGCAGGAGTACGAGACCTTCTGGGCGGCGCGGCGGCTGTGCAGGCGCAGGAAGCGGAGCTGCACCGGGCTGGCCCCCGCGTATTCCAGCTGCGGGGACGGCGGGACACAAACCGGGAAGGGGGGCTGCTTGGAGGGGGCTGTGCGCCCCCCAGGCCGAGCCTTGGCAGGGCTCAGCACCGGCCAAAGCCAGGGAATTCCTCTCGGAGGAGGTGTCCCATCCCTCCGTGCACAGCCAGGGGAGCCGGGTGCTGCCCCACCTCAGCGGGTGGCACTCGGGGACCCCCGGCCTCACCTTGGTGTCCCCTGGGCTGTTGCAGCCGGGCACTCACCAGGAAGCCCCCGGGCAGGGTGCTGAACCATTCAAAGGTGCCCTCGGAGCTGTAGGTGGTCAGCCAAGCCTTGATGGGGACCTGAGGGGAGCGGGGACCATGTCACACTGGCCCAGCACGGGACAGTGGCAGAGCCAGGACACGGAGCCAGCAGAACACCTGTCCCTGCAGCCTGGGCACAGCCCGCGGCCAGCATCCTCACTCTGGA